GGGACTCAGGGCAAACCAGTGATTCCAGCCATGAAAGCCTTTGACAACATGATGCTGAATGTGTGTGTGTTTTCAAAATTCACATTTGGACACGGTCCATTACAAATGGAGGTGTGGCTACTGGCTATATAATTTCATATACACATATTTGGTGAATAGGAGAAAGAACCATCCAATCAAGAGTGAGAGGCTTGCAGATGAGTGGCTTGTTGTTGCTTTTGTGTTTTTTTATGTGTTTACTATCCTTATTTTAATCGGCACTTAGTTATAGTAGGTGAAATGTAGATGTGTAAAACACATCACCTTTTAAAACTTGTTTGTGTGTTTATTATTTTTGTGTAACTATGTATGTGTATGTTTATGAATAAACATCAGTTCAAAAGTATTTGGATGTAGGAAAGAGAAAATATTTATTGCAATTTTCCTCTACTACAGGTAATTATTTTGGACAATGGATATTCAGAACCTTTTGGAAAGGCATGCCCTCGTTGTTTGTAAACTATGATCTTCCTAAGAAGAGTTAGGTTTATTTATTTATCATGTCAGGGGCAACCAGACAATTGTATTACATTTCTAACAGAACAAAACAAATAAACACACAAAACACAAAGTTTGCAAGCTTGGTAGTTGATTAAATGTCGTTTGACCAGTATCTGGTCACTTGGAGTGACTCTGGTGTTGCCGCAAGGAGGTCCTCCATTGTGCATGTGGCAGGTCTCAGGTTGCATTGCAGCAGGTGGTCAGTGGTTTGCTCTTCTCCACACTCGCATGTCGTGGATTCCACTTTGTAGCCCCATTTCTTAAGATTAGCTCTGCATCTCGTGGTGCCAGAGCACAGTCTGTTCAGCACCTTCCAAGTCACACACAGAAGAGTTAGATAAAAGTAAAGTTTTTCCTCTGACATTAAATCCAGTTGTATCCAACTCTGGGGTGTGGTGTTTATCTCCATTTCTAAGCCGAAGAGCTAGCGTTGTCCGTAGATACCTCCAAGGTCATGTGGCCAGCATGACTGCATGGAGGTTGGCAGAAGCTGGAGCTAACAGTGAAAGCTTACCCCACTCCCCTGATTCGAACCTGCGACCTTTCGGTCAACAAGTTTAGCAGCTCAGTGGTTTAACCCACTTTGCCACCGGGGGCTCCAGTTAAAAGAAGAGTTAAAACTAGCTTAACTCAACCTTCTCCTTAGTGGTAAAGATCCAGTAATATTCATGCAAAGCAACTTAGGTTTCTCAGCTGTCACACTGATATACCTAGATACCTCTTTGAACTGTTAGGGACAAAGATATGCCAATGCACAAAAACATATATTGCAGAGTTTCAGAAGTGTTATTTCAGTTGCCCAAAAACAACAACTCCCTCTTGAAACATCTTGGTTTAAATCATCCTCTCAAGAGACTCAAAATAAAGTAGTCTTTGTTAAAACAACTTTTAAATAAATAAATACTGGTACATTGCATATTAATCCAGATGCAGATAGGAAAACTGCATACCATTACACACTTATACACACTTATACAATACAGTAAGCAATCTGAATTATAGAGAAACAAATTACTACTGGAGGCTTGAAGAAGGTTGTTATTTCTCCCCTCTATATATAGAAAAAATATTTAAAAATATTTGGACATGAGAAAAATAAAATATCTATTGCAATTTACCTTTACTACAGGTAACACTGTTTACAACCTGTCAAGACTACTTTATTCATTTTATAAAATGCTTTCAGATAAAGGAGAAATGGATGTGTGTCTTCCGGTTGCCCATCGCACCCTCATTGCCTATCACCACCAAACTATGCTGCCATAGAGTGGTGGTGCAGATGACACAGGAGGGAGGGAGGGAGGAAGGAAGGAAGCACAAGAAAGAAACATGTTGCTTCCCCTCTGGAAGCAAAGGATACAGTTTGTCCTGTCAAGTAGCAACACTTTATGATGCAGGAGGGCATTCCCCAAGACCATAGAGACACACTGCGACCGTTGGAGGCTTCTCTTATGTCCCCGCATGGGATGCTAGAGCTGACAGACAGGAGCTCACCCTTCTCCCTGGATTCAAGCCACTGACCTTTTGGTTAGCAGTTCAGCCGGCACAAAGGTTTAACCAGGGGCTCCTATATCACTTTATGTACATATACGCAAACACAAGTACAATATGCCCTTGATATCTGCTGGGATTTGGTTCCCTCTGGATATCAAAATCTGTGGATGCTCAATGGTGTAAAATGGTGTTTCTTATATAAAATGGCAAAAACAAAGTTTGCTTTTTTTTGGGGGGGGGGGTATTTTCAAGCCATGGATGGTTGAATCTGTGGGTGCAAAATCCATGGATATGGAGGACTGGTTGTATTTCAAGATAATATTTTGCTCTTGGAGGCTGTTATAAGTGAGGCATTTCATTCCTTTTTGTCAATGCGATGAGATAGCCTTGGAAACTGCATATGGCCACAAGGCCACACTAGCCACCCCTTAATCCATTTGGGAAAACAATTCAATACCCCATAGTTGGATACCGTAATACCTTTAGCAGGGCTAAGGAATCACAAAATAGGCCACTTCAAACCCAGCCTAACAAATTTTCTGAATATATTGTCGAAGGCTTTTGTGGCTGGAATCACTGGGTTGCTGAGAATTTTCCAGACTGTATGGCCATGTTCCAGAAGCACTGTCTCCTGAAATTTTGCCCACATCTATGGCAGGCATCCTCAGAGGTCGTGAGGTCTGTTGGAAACTAGGCGAGTGAGGTTTATATATCTTTACATTAAATCCTTAAACATTCACATAGCAGGAGAGGACCAGGCCAAAGTAGACTGGGTATAATTTATAATCACACGCATTATTTTTCGAAAGGTTGGACACAGGATTATACCATAAAAGGCTAATGCCAATTTCAAAATATTTTAAAACCTTGTGAAAATTATTATTGTTCTTGTTGTTGATGATGATATTATTATGTTTCTCCATACCCCACTTTTTCTCTCAGCAAAGGAGACATAGTCTTTTCTTACGAAAGATGCAACCTAAACATGAGATGAAAGTGCTCCTTGTAAAATTTCCCAGTAGTCAGCCATGCCCTACATAAGAGTTGGAAGAGACCACAAGGGCCATCCAGTCCAACCCTTTGCCATGCAGCAACACACAATCAAAGCACTCCCGACAGATGGCCAGCCAGCTTTTGCTTAAAAACTTTCAGAAAAGAAGACTCCACCACATTCCAAGGAAACATACTGCACTGCCAAACAGCTCTTAGTATGAGGAAATTCTTCCTAATGCTGAGCTGGAATCCCATTTTCTGCAGATTGAATCCAATGCTTTTTGCCCTAGTCTCTAAAGCAGCATAGCATTTTGTGTGCGTGTGCACACCTTCAAGTTGCCAGTCGACTTATTAATTTCATAGAGTTTTCTTAGATGGTTTTGGCAGTTCCTTCCTCTAAGCTATAGCTCATATGACCTGGGCTATTCATTGATGGTTTCCCATCCAAGTACTAACTGGAGCTGGCCCTGTTTAGCTTTTAAGACAGAATTTTCCACAATGTTTCATTCCATTTCCCTACCTTCCTGTTGTTCCTTTCTTATTCTAATTGTAGATTAGCACTTGATAGCCACTGAGCTCACTAGGACGCAGGGTACTTTTATACATCTATATAAATAAAAATGTAATGTTCGTTTGTGGGATTAACATAACTCAAAAACCACTGGATGAATTGACACCAAATTTGGACACAATACACGTATCAGGCCAATGAGTGACCATCACTCATAAAAACCCTGGAAAACCCCAAAAAACTAAATGATGATACAGTGCATGCATGGAAACAACTCCCCTGACCCCACCCCCTCCTGCGCAAGGGAAAGAGCTGGCCATACCAGCTTTGAGAGAGAAAAAAGAGGTAGAGGAGTATGAAAGGAGAGAAAGGAAGGAAAAGAAAAAGTGGGGAAGGAAGGAAAAAGGGAGGGAAAGAAGGAAGGAAGGAGAAAAGGAAAGAAAAAAGAGGGAAAGAATGAAAGCGGGAGGGAAGGAAGGAGAGAAAGAAGGAAGGATGGAAYGAAAGAGAAAGAATGAAGGAAAGAGACATATAAAAGGATGRAGAGAAGGAGGGAGGGAAAGAGAGAAGGAAGGAGAGAAGAAAGGAAGGAAAGAAAGAGATAAAGAAGGAAGGAAGAAGAGAAAGAAGAAGGGACAGAGGAGGAGGGGGGGGGGGGAGATAAGGAAGGAAAGAGGTAGAGAAGGAAGGAACCAGACTGAGGCACAGCAAAGCGTGGCTGGGGACAGCTAGTTTATAGATAAAGGATTGGTTTTTTTAATGGTTGGTTAGCCATACCATTGCCTTATTCAATGACAGTGAGGACAATGTCCTATGGTATTTGTTACTCCCCTGATCCATCCAATCAGAGAGAAAACTAGCTAGTTCACACAAACTAATAATATTACAATATAATGATATAGTAATATATAATACTGATATTGTACTATGCTAATAATATAATATATTGTATGAAAATATATCTTGTAAGCCACTCTGAGTACCCTTTGGAATGAGAAGGGCAGCATATAAATGCCGTAAATAAAAACAAATAAATGAATAAAATAAATAAATGCCCAAATGTCTCCATTTGTAGGCTCTGAACAATTAAATTAATTGTCGGAAAGCGACAAGGTACTGCATTGGATATCTCAACAGACAGTGTATCAATACTGATGTTCACATTGGCATAAAAGTGAGCAAGATTGTCTTTAATGTGTCAGCCACCATCAGCCATCAATATCCAATTTTACTGAAGTAGAAGAAGGCAATGCCTAGACTACTCGGGAGAGCAAAATAACATAAGGGCATAATGGTAGCAGCTAAGTAATCCTTTAAAAGACACACAAAGTTAACTAAAACATGTAAAGTTCCACT